CATATGTGGAATTTAAGAAACAAAATGAAGGAACAAACAGAAAAGGAGACAAACAAAAAACCAGAATCTTTATAGAGAACAAACTGGTGGTTGCCAGGGCAGGTGGTTATGGGGAATGGGTGAAATAGATAAAGGGGATTAAGAGAACACCTATCTTGATGAGCAGTGAGTCACATACAGAACTGCTGAATCTTTATATTGTATACCTGGAATTAATATAACACTCTATGTTAATTATACCTCTAAAAAAATATAGGCAAGTAATTCAAAGCGTCTATTTAAAGACATCTCAAAAGAGAGATGCATGAATGGTCAATAGATACCTCATTAGACATTAGAAAACCCATTAAATGACATATCACTATACACTTATTAGGATGGCTAAAATAAATACAATGACAATACCAAGTGCTGAAAAGTATGTGGAGCAATTGGAACTCTCATACATTATTGGCAGGAATGTAAAGTGGCACAACCACTCTGGGAAACACCTTGGCCATTTCTTATCCACTGCCCATACAGTCCAGGAATCCCATTCTAAGGCATTTACCCTAGAGAAATGAAGACTCATGTTCACACAAAAGCCTGCACATGAATGTTCACAGCAGCTCATCCAAAGCTATAAACAACCCAAATGTCCTTCAACGGGCGAATGGATAAAGAAACTGTGGTTTACAATGGACGAGAGCAGTAAAAAGGAAACATCTATTGATACATAAGAACATCTATACTGAATAATAGATGCTAATCTGAAAATATTATATACTGCGTAACTCCACTTACATGACATTCTGGCAAAGGCCAAAACCACAGGGATGGAGATGAAATCGGTGGTTGCTAGGTGTTAGGGTAGAGGGAGAGCACGGTTACCAAGGGACAACATAAGGGAGTGTGAGGAGGTTCTGTATGCTCATTATGGTGGTGGTTACAAGAATCTAAACATGTTATAGCAGCAAAGCCAATTTTACTTCATGCTGATTTGAAAAATAAAATTTAAAAAACCCTTTATCAAAAGGGAAAAGAGACTGAAAAGAAAGGAACAGAGCTTTCAACTTGAGGTGTTGTGCAAAGAGCATTAAGAAAAAGGACTAAAATAAAACCAGAAATTAATAGTAAACAAACAAGATGATTAGTAGTCAAATGAACTAAATAAACAAACTACTGTTAAACACCATGATCAAGTACAGCCAATCCCAAGAAGGAAATGTCAACTCAAAATCAGTAATTTTATTAACATATATTACAATTAACAAATTAACAGAGAAAAACTAAGCACTTATAATCAAAAGATGCCAAAAAAACCATTTGCCAAAACCTAATTCTGTTTGATTAAAACAAACAAACAAAAACCTCTCAAACTAGAGATCGATACTCCCCCCTGAACTTCATGAACACCGCCTATCAGAGACCTACAGAGAGCCCTATGTATCAAGTGGAGAAATACTGGCAGCATACCTTTAAAGTCAGAAACAATACAAGGACGCCCCCTATCACTGTTACTATTCAACAGTGTGATAAAACTAGAAAAATCTAGAGCTATCGAACACTAGAAAGAAAAGGGATATTATGAGCTAAATTGTGTCCTGCCCCCCCAATTTCATATGTTGAATTCCTAACCCCTAGTACCTCAGAATATGTCTATATTTGGAGATAAGGCTTTCAAAGAGATAATTCAGTTAAAATGAGGCCACTAGGGTGGGCCCTGATCCAATATGTGTCCTTTTAAGAAGAGATCAGGATATACATAGAGACATCAGGGGCCTATGTTCACAAAGGGAAGATCAGGTGAGGAAGCAGTAAGAGGGAGATCATCTGCAAGCCAAGGAGAGGCCTCAGGGGAACCTAACACTGCTAGTACTTTGATTTTGGACTTCCAGCCTCCAGAACCGTGAGAAAATAAATGTCTGTTGTTTAAGCCGTATAGTGTGTGGCATTTTGTTATAGCAGCTCTAGCAGACTAAGACAGGGGACACAGATTATCTACCTCAAGAGCCCAAGACCATTAACTGAAACAACTAATAAGAGCATAGTAAGGTAATCCAATACAGGATCAAAATAGAAAAATCAATTATTTTCCTGCATACTAGCAACAGCCAAATGGAAAATGTAATAGATGAAAAGATGCCACTTTCAATAGGAACCAAACTTTAAAACACCTAGTAAATAAACTGAACAGATATACAAGAAAACCACATGAATAGAGAGATAGACCATGTTTGAAGACAGAAGGACGAGATGGCCTGTTTTGTGACTGCTCATGTCCAAATGACATCAAAGTCATCCAGAAATTACACTGGTTCCAAAGCAATTTTCTTTGGCATGTTATTTTTAACCAATCAGGGATGAATTTTCTCACAATTACAGAGAAAGCCCTAGCAATATATGAATACCTACAGACAGAAGCTGAAAATCCTGCAATAGTGCCTCCCACTAGAGGAAGAGAAAATGGTGCCTTTGTTTCCTACAAAATGAAGCTCCGGTGGGAGGAGGATAGCTAAGAAAGCAGATGAGGAAGTTGTGAAGACATTTGCCCTGTTTAAAAAAGACAAAAAGACTGCTGAAGACTAGGCCCTGAATCAGATTTTAATTTGATGAAGCTGGTATCTATCTTAAGCAAATGCCCTCAAGAACCCACATCTGGAAGGAAAAAGCCTGAGCCCAGAGTTTAAGGCTACAAAGAAACCACTGATTCTGATGCTGGGTGCAAATGCCAATGCCTTGCTAACTGGGCAAGGATTATTATTAGGACTGTCATTATTTGGGTGTTTTGCCTTCAAAGCCACAGAGACTTTGAGGGGTGTGCTCTTAACCCTCTTTTTCTTGTAAGCCCTATTATTTTTAGTGTACACATTTTCAGGACAAGAAGTTTTTCAAGAATACATACATCCCATTAGAGCAGAAAGGCCTCTCTGATGGAAGATGTCAGTCTCCATAAATTTATCTACAAATGCATGAGATCCTAATTAAAAAAATCCTAATATAATTTTCCATGTAATTTGACAAGCCGATTCTAAAATCCATCTGGAATAGAAAAAACTCAATAATGGCCTGGAAATTCAGGAAAAATAAGAACAAGTAGATCAGTATCTCCTTATTAAACTGCCTTTCTCGTGTTGCTGGGTAAAGCAGGGAACAAAAGGAAGTAGTTAGGCCAGGGGCAGATGTCTTAGCTGTAGGCTGATTCGACTGTCTGCTGAAGGTATGGTGGGTGGCCAGGGGAACTTGGAAGGCCCCTAAGACCAATCACAGCTCCACTCAGAGATGATGGGCTTGCTGAGCATTTGTGCTCTCTTTAGGTCTAAAGCAAGTTCTGCAGAGGGGATCTGTCCTACCAGACACAAGGCCCATTGTAACTAACCTATGTGGTATTACAAAAGGAATGGACAAATTTTATAGAACAGAAAATATTAATAATATCTAACACTTATCATGTGCAGGGCAATGTTCTGAGTGCTTTATGTAGATTAATTCATTTAATCCTCACAACAATCTATGAGGTAGGTACTATTAGAGAAGCACAGAGAGGTTAACTAGTTTGTCCAATGTCATATAGCTATTAAAGGTCAGAACTGGAAATAGAGTAGAAAAACAAATCCACATACACATGGGAATTTAGTTTATGACAAAAGCGGAACTTCAAACCAGGGGGATAATGATGAACCAGTCAATAAATGGTGTCAGAGCAAATAACTATCCATATGGGAAAAAATTACATTTACATTCTTACCTCCCACAATTCATAAAACTTAATTCCAGAGAAAGAGATACAATTTTGACTTCTACACACGCTTTAGGTAAAAATATAAGAAAGTTTTCTTATACGAGACATAAAATACAAAAAAAAAATCGATAAAGATGACTATGTAAAAACTGAATGAAATCTTCGACATGCTAAAAGATACCATAAATAAAATACAAGCAACAGACTAAAAGAAAACATTTTGCAACATTTCCAGAATATAAATTAAAAAAAAACCACTCTAGGGGTGGCCTGGGTGGCTCAGTCGGTTGAGCGTCCGACTTCGGCCCAGGTCATGATCCCACGCTTCGTGGGTTCGAGCCCCACAACGGGCTCTGTGCTGACAGCTCAGAGCCTGAAGCTTGCTTCAGATTCTGTGCCTCCCTCTCTCTCTGCCCCCCACCCCCCGCACTCTGTCTCCCAAAATAAATAAACATTAAAAAAATTATTTAAAAAACTCTAACAAATCTAGAATATATAAAGCACTCCTACATAGCAATAAAAAAATCAACATCCTAATAGAAAACTGGGGGAAAGAATGAATCAATTCACAGAAAATAAATTTAAAAAGAGCCAATAAGCATATAAAACAAACTGAAACACCATTTCTTTTGCTATCAGATTTGCAAAAAATTAAGAAGACTGATGATATCCACAGCTGGTAAGGCTGTGGGGAAACATGTATGTCTCATACACTGCTCATATACTGGCCCTTTTGGCGGGGAAATTTGGCACTATTAACATTTATTTTATACATACCTTTCAATCCAGCAGGTCTAGCTACCCTATAGAAATGTTAGCTGGCACATGCACACCAAGAGTTATTTACAAGCATTTTCAATGCAGCATTGTTAGTCAAACTAAAAAATCAGAAACAACCTAAATGTTAATCAGAAGGCAATGGTTAAACAGATGGTGGCACATCTATGCTATAGGCTACTATGCAACAGGTAGATCTCAATGTTATTGATCAAGCAGATAGATCTCCATGTGATATCAGTGATATTGAAAGATATCCAAGCAAGTTGTAGAACCATGTATACTACACAAAACCCTATCTATTTATGTCCACATGTGGTTGTAAGTACAAGAAAATGAAAGGTATACATCAACTAATAGCACAGGTTACCTTCAAGTAACCTTCCTCAGAGGAGGAAGAGTATTAGTCAAAGGGCTCTTTTGCTTTCTCAGTCTTGTTTGAATTTTGATCAATGAGAATTTTAAAAAACCAACATTAAAACCCACATTAAAGTCAACTGCACTATATAAAAAAAGTGCTTTATATACTGTAGTACTTAATAAATCTTAACTTAAAAAAAGGTCATCTCTTAAATGTAAAAAGCCCGCTGAAAGGTCATTATATACCTTTGCAAGGGATGAACCAAACAGAGAAGTGGAAGTGATGGAGGTAAAACAGGCAAGAAGGGAAAAAAGAATTACCAGCAAAGGAGGTTAGACAATTTTAAAAATGGATGATAGCTAATTATAATGGCTACCATTTTTTGAGGGTCTTCCATGAGCAAGACAATGTGCCAGGTGCTCTGGACAAACACCATCTCTAATTCTTGAATCAACCTGTAGGTATTTCCATTTTCCAGATTAAGAAAACATGGCTCAAAGAAGGCAAGCATCAGGCTTAAGGCAAGGTCTTTGCTCACTACTGTCCCAGGTTATCCTGGATTGGGACTGGGTTTGAGACTGGGACTAGGGGGAGCGCTTCTGGCCTGGACCCTTACTATACTCTGCATCCTTGAAGCATGCTCCCAAGCTGTCCTGTTCATCCAGACTGGCATTCTCTTCCTCCTCCTCGCTCTCGGTTCTCCAGTATGCTGGACGCTTGATGGGCCGCTTCCCTGGGGTGCGCTGGGAAGCAGGACTGCTAGACACTGTGCCCAGCCCACTGCTGGAGCTCCCACTGCTTCGGTCCTGGCCCCCAGTCCACCAGGCCTGCAGGCTGGAGGTAGCTGGTGAGGACGATGAGGACTGCAGGTTGGCCATGCACAGCATGCCTTGGATGGCCTCCTGAGTGCTGGGAGAGGCAGGGGCCTCGCTGCAAGGGACAGGAGAAATGCTGAGGGAGTTTCTGTAGTTGTCAGAGGAAAATAGTCATCAGAACAGTCAGGGAGAAGGGACAATAGTGGGGCTTAGGGTGGGAGGAAGGAGAGAACAATTCCAGATGAGAAACCAGAAATCAAGCCAATGGACCAAGACAGTATATCAAAGACTGTCTTCACATCAAGGACAGTCCTTCTTGCCTCAAGTCTTTCCGCAGACAACAGGAAGGTGGCAAAAAGAGGGGTGCACCTCCCTCACTGTTCGCCCATGCTGAATTCTTTCATTTTTTAAACAAGGCCCAGAAAAGGCCCAGTTTTCCTTCCATGCCCCTTCCAGTCCCTCTTCCAAGTCCCAAAAAACCCCAAATTGATCCCTTTTGAAGTCTATATATACATCCACTTTCTGTCAGATCTTAAGTTCCCCAGGACAGATTTCATGTCTGTTTTAGTCTCTCAGCCTGAATGTCTTTGCTAATTCTTTGTCCCTTTAAATATCTTGATAAATATCTGCTGATTGGCTGATCTAGTCTTTTGGGTGGGGGTGGGAGGGTGTGGCGTCTGATCACCTGGAAAGGGGAGATCAAAGACGGTACTCACGTGAGGGCAGCATAGTCAGGTCCCCCCACCTGCCTGCTGGCCTTGAGCAGATCAAGAATTCCACCAGCACCACTCCCATTCCCAAGCTTGCCTTCGACCCCTTCTACCATGTCCTCATCTGTTGTATAGTCCTCCTGTTGGGGAAAGAGGATATCACCTCAGCTGCTGAGGGTTGGTCTAGTTAGGCCCCAATACAGTGTTGACATTTTCACTCCGGATACTAGTATCTTCTAAGCACCAAGTATTTTAATCTTCACAGCATCTTGGTGAGGTAGGTATTGTTAACTTCCATTTTACCGATAAGGAAGCTAAGGCTCAGTAAATAATTTGTGTAACGTCATAATCAGATATTCCAAATCAGATACTCTTTCTGCTACATTGCAGTGCCTTTTCTTCTACCCGGCATTAAAGGATTTTTTTAATGTTTGTTTGTTTGTTTGGAAACACAGAAAGTGTGAGTGGGGGAGGGGCAGAGAGAGATGGAGAAGGAGAAATCCCAAGCAGGCTCCATGCTGTCAGTGCAGAGCCTGACGTAGGGCTCTATCTCACAAATGGTGAGATCATGACCTGAGCCAAAATCAAGAGTTGGAAGCCTAACCGAGTGAGCCAGCTAGGCACTCCACTGCATTAAAGGATTTTTAAAATATGTCAACTAAATTATGATCTCCCAGTTATAAGCTTAGCTGTACTTAGCACACAATCGTTCACTTAATAAATATTTTAGGAATTGAATGCATAGGGTATCTTTTTACCTCCAACTAGAATGACAATCTGTCTTCTGTCTCTGTAACCAGAATGGCAGAAGACTAGACACAGAGCAGGCTCCTACCTCAATGTCAAACTCAACTTCTCCTGGTTCCCGAACTCGGTTGGGGTCAGAGCAAGGCTTTGCACGGGGCAACTTTCGAGGAAATTCTAGAAAATAATGAAATGCATTTATCATGAAGCTAAGATAAGCATCTGAGCCAAACACCCAGGGGGAAAAGTAAGACTATAATTTTCCTAAAAGTAATGACCACAGAAAACTAATTGAGGGAGGTTTGGACTGGTTTATATATAAATCTCTAGAGCAGAGAATACATGGAGGCCTAAAGAGCTTGTAAATCAGAATGTCAAAAAGCTCAGGCCTAAGGCCTCTGGTCTATCAAGGGTACCAGAAACAAATGTGAAATGGGCAGGGAAGGAACAAGAAAGAATAGGTACACACTTGGTCTTATTATCAAGGTTGCCTTCTCCTTTCCCAATCTCTCGTCAATTTGCAGTTCATCATCTGAATCCAAGTCAAATTCATCCTCCATCACCTGTTCCACCACCAGCCTAGCCTTATCTGCTTTCTTTGTGAGCTTGGCTCGCCGAGACTTAGATAAGCTCTTTACCCTCTTGGCACTAAAAAGGAAGAGAAGGAGAGCATAAAAAGTCACATTCAATATTCTTAAGAAGGCAAGCCCCACCCCCCAAACTGGTCTACAGATTCAATGCAATCTCTATTAAAATCCAGCTAATTTCTTTTGCATAAATTAATAAGCTGATACTAAAATGTATATAGGCATACAAAGGACTTAACATGGGCAAATGAATTTTGAAAAAGAACAAAGTTGGAGGACTTTTACTACTTGGTTTCAAAATTTACTATAAAACAACAATCAAGGTAGTGTGATATGAGCATAAGGACAGACATATACAACAGTGGAACAGAGCTGTGAGTCTAAAACTAACCCTTAAATTTATGGTCAGTTGCATTCTGCCAAAGGTGCCAAGGCAATTCAGTGGGAGAAGGGATGGTCTTTTCAACAAATGGTGCTAAGATAACTGGGTATCACATGCAAATAAATGAATGTGGATTCTTACCTCACATCATATACAAAAATTAACTCAAAATGGATCCTGGAGATAAATGTAAAGCTAAAACTATAAAACTTCTTAGAAATAAATACAGGAAAATATCTTTATGACCTGGGATTAGGTAAAAATCAACACATTTGTGCTTCAAAAGATACCATTAAGAAAGTGAAAAGATAAGCCATAGACTGGGAGGAAATATTTACAAGTCATTTATTTGGGAAAGGATTTGTAGCCAGAATATTTAAATAACTTTTAGAACTCAATAATAAGACAAGCAAGCCAATTTAATAATGAGCAAAATATCTGAATAGACATTTCTCTAAAGATGATATACAAATGCCCAATAATCACACAAAAAGATGCTTAGTATCAGTAGTTATTGGGAAAATGCAAATCAAAACCACAATGAGATACCACTTAATATCCATTAGAATGGCTATAATAAAAAAGACAGACAATAACAATGTTAGCCAGTATACTTCTGGTGGGAACATAAAGTAGTACACACACTTCAGAATAAATTTTGGCAGTTTCTTAAAGAGTTAAACATAACGTTACCATATGACCCAAAATTTTACTAAGTGAGAAATGAAAACATATGCCCATACAAAAACTTGTACGCAAATGCTCATCACACCATTATTCATAATAGTCAAAAAGTGGAATCACTCCAAATGACTGTCAGCTAGTTAATGGATAAACAAAATATGGTATATCCATAGAATGGTATACTATTCAGCAGTAGAAAGGAACCAATTAATGATACATACTACATCATGGATGAACCTCAAAAACAAGTGAAAGAAGCCAGACATAGAAGACCACGTATTATATTTTTCCATTTATATGAAATGTCTAGAAAAGACAAATCTACAGAGACAGAAAGTAGATTAGTGGTTGCTTGGGCTTGGAGAAGAGAACCAAAGGACTAAGTATGAGTGAGCATGAGGCATCTTTTCGGGGTGATAGAAATGTTCTAAAATTGGACTGTGGTGATAGTTGCACATTCTTTAAATTTACTAAAAGTCATTTAATTGTATACTTAAAGCAGGTATGGTATATAAATTATACCTCAAAAAAAGCTATTAAAAATACATAAAGGGGCACCTGGGTGGCTCAGTCAGTTGAGCATAGGACTTTATTTCGACTCAGGTCGTGATCTCATGCTTTGTGAGTTCGAGCCGTACACTTGGGTCTATGCTGACGGTGCAGACCCTGCTTGGGATACTCTCTCTCCCTCTCTCTCTCTGCCCCTCCCCTGCTTACACTTGCGCTCTGTCTCTACCAAAACAAACAAACTTTATATGTATATATACACATACTTCCTATATACATATATGTATATATATATATACTTCCTATATATGTATATATATAGATGTATGCATATATATGTGTGTGTGTATATATATATATATGAAATGGAAAAAATTAAAAATTTAAAAATGGCTTAAATAATCCTGTTACATATGGCAAACAATATTAACCAGTAAAAACTGTTGAAATAAACCATATAGTTAAAAAGAAACCAGTTTTTGGTAAATCAGTATACTTGATACATTCAGCAGCCATTTGGTGAACTGGCTTTCTTTCAGTAAATTGGCTGACATTAAACTGACCTGTTTCCTACCCCACAGGGTTTTAGGAGGATTAAATGAGCTAATGAAGAGCCCAACACAAGGCAAGTGCCCAATGGTAGTTAATCTTATAATTAAGTTCTCTGGGCCTCAGTTTCCATATTAATAAAATGGGGATAACAACACTTCAAGGTTGTTGTGAGGACTAAATAATGTACTAAACAGCTAAAATAAAATCTGACGCAAAGCAGAAGCTCAATAAATGGCAGCTATTTATACCCTGGATCTTTTATTAACTTTTAATTGTGAAAAATGTGTAACATATACAAAAATATAAAAGTATAAAAAACTCTCATGTACCTTACATTCAGCTAAGTTTCAGCAATTATCAATAACCAGTCTTGTTTCGTCTATACCTCGGATTATTCTGGAGAAAAGCCCAGCCATAATATCATATTGTCTGTAAATATTTCTGTACCTTGTCTCTTTAGGTTGACTTAACAGCAGTCTCTGGCAGCTGCAGGAGGTGACAGAAGCAACATAAAAAGAGACTGGTGGGGAAGGGGAAAATGTCTCATTGTATTCTCAACAGCCATTATAGGTTGGATCCTTAGGATTCTCAATTTTTTACTACCCAGGAGATCGACCATGGACAAAGACAATGCTCAACAGTCTATTATTATTTAGTAACTAGATTCTCAAACCCCAAGAACAGCTCTGCTGCTTTCAGAATCTGCCCTGCTCTCACATTCCCTTTTCACTGATTTCTCAGCTAAGTGGGATCTGAAGGCCTTTTCCTACAAAAAGGCTATGAAGGTATCCTTGATGCTTGTATTCCTCTACTGTTCATACTTTACTTGGCTCTTGACTCTTCCTGTCTGGTGTTCTGAGTGTCCAGGCGATCACTCTTACGGTCTTCTTCTGCCTCTGCCTATGTGTTTCAGGGTTTCTGATGATCTACTTAGCTTCTGGCTATACCCACACCATCATCACTATCACCACCACCATCACCTTTAATCTTCATCATTTTATTTATAAGAGCTACCATTTATTAAGCATTTACTATGTGTCAAGCCCTGTGATAGGCACTTTACATACATAATCTCATTTAGTCCTCCAACAACCTGAGGGGAAGCTTTACCTATAGAAGAGATATAATGAGGACACTAAGGTGCAGGGTTAATTAACTTGTTAAAATCACACAGTGAATTTGTGTCAGAGCTGGGATTCAAACTTGGACCTGATTCCCAAGCCCGTGCTTTTTGCTGTGAATGCTTTTATTTTATTCTTTTAGAAAATGCTCTGTTAAAAATTATTTTAGGAAAAGTAATACATGCTCATTGTACACAATTCAAATGCTACTGAAGTAAAAATTTACTCTCCTGGCTCCCTTCTCCTACTTTCCAGAGAGAACTACTATTACAAGTTTGATGTGACAAGTATAAAATATGCGATGAATATACTTATTTGCATGAATGTGTACAACTATCTCTAGAAGAAAATCATTGACACTGGTTGTCCACAGGGAAGGGAACTGGGGAACAGGGAGGGGCAGGAACAAAATTTTTCACTAAGTATTCTTCTGTACTTTTTCAATTTTAAACTGCATAAATTAAATTTTAAACCTCTTCAAAAAAAGTTAAATTAAAAATGAAGGAAGGGGCACTGGGTGATTCAGTCGGTTGAGTATCCGACTTCAGCTCAGGTAATGATCTCATGGTTTGTAAGTTCAAGCCCCACATTGGGCTTGTTTGTGTCAGCACGGAGCCCACTTCAGATCCTCTGTCCTCCTCTCAAAAATAAACACTTAATAAAAATAAAGAAATATGTATGCCACTTTTCTACACAAGCATATACACACACACACGTACACACACACCATTTTTAAAAATTAAAATGGAACTATTACTATATATTATTTTGTAACCTGATTTTTTCGCTTAAGAATATATCTTGGATATTTTCCCACGTCAATAGATATTTAACTGTTTTTTAATTCAATTCTTTTTAATAGCTACATGCTATTCCACTCTATAGATGTGCCATAATTCATTTAACCAATGCTTACTGATGAACATGTTCCTAATTACTACTACAAACAATGATGCAGTGAACACTGAACATTTCTCTTTACGTACCTGTGCAAATATTTCTGCAAAATTCCTAAAAATCTAATTGCAAAAGGTATATAAAAAAGTGAATGTTCTTAACCAGTATGCTATACTTCCTTATTCCTGCCAGTGGTTCTGACCCACTGACTTGCTGAAATTTTTAGAACTTGTATACAAGATTTTTCTCAAACTGCCAATTAGATTCCAGGCCTCTCCCCTAACACAACCATAGTTCTCTGAACTAAGCAATGATATCTCATAATATCTGGGTCCTTCCCCAAGTACAGTAAGCCCCCCCCCCACCCATGTTCCAGCCCCAGGTCCTAATTCCATGCCTTGTCTCAGTGACATGTTGCAACTGATAGCCCCAGTATCTCTGTGTTCCTTCTTCCCACCTCACCTGCCATTAGACATCAACAGGGCCAGCGGGCCCTCATTCCCATCAAGGTCCAAGTCTGGCGAGTCATCATCTGAGTCATTCAGGCAGGTACCAGTGATGTTGAACTGCAGAAGGAGGAGGCTCAGTTGTCACCTGTCTGGGACTCCCATGTGAATCACGATGACCAGTTCCTTCCGGTTTCACTGGTTGAGTTCACTGTTAAAATCACCTGAACCAAGGCCTTCTGCTACACTGTCTCCCACCCCCACCCCAAATGATTCCAGGAACAGGAGGTTGACAATGAATGGCTACCCCAGGGGAAACCTATCAATCTTGTAAACCGTGTTCTCTAAAAAGAGGGGAGAGGATCTTCACATGCCCATGGAGAACACCACAATCTTGAAGCAAGGTAGAGCCCCAGAGAAGGGCTTTTCTTAAGGACCTGTTCAAGACTCCAACATGACACTCATATACCATGTTCTTAAATGTCATTCCCAACCAGCATTTCAAGATTCAGCTCAAGTGTCATTTTTTGAGAGAAGAGCTCCTGATCATAGCTTATGCCCACATAAAATCATCCACCCCTCTGTGTCTCAGGGTCCCCCACACACCCTTGATTATGGCATCCACAATACCTCATTGCACTCATTTGTTTTTATGCCTGCTGTTCTCACTAGCCTGTCAGCCTCTTGAAGGTTACATTCACAGCACCTATCACAGTGCCCAGCACAGACAAGGTCTCAATAAATGCCTGTTATATGAGTGGGACTGGTAGCCAAACACCAGGGGCCCTAAGGGAGGTGGGAAGAGAGGACAATCCTTTTGATACCCTGCTCTTCCAAGGGACCCAAAAGGGCTGGGCTGAACCCATGGGCCAGCACCCACCTTTGCTTTCTGGGAAGAGCCTGTCTTCAGTGCCTGATGATTGTATGTATCCATGAGATTATAGCTCAATTGGCCAGCAGGCCCCAAGGCTGAGCTCTCCTTGCCCTTTCGCTCTGCCTTCTTGAAGAGTTCCTTGGGCTTCAGGCCTTTCTTCTTTGAACCACTTTTGGAGGGCAGTGACAGCCTGGACATGGATACTGAAGTGGAATGGACTGGCCTGGTTAAGGGAATGGAGCCAGCTGGGAAGATCCTCTGCAGCCCAAAGATATTGCTCGTCTTCCCAACGTTCTGTTGGAAGATATCCTACAAGAGTGTTAGTACACGAGGGGGTTAGAGCTTACTCAAGAGTTCTCTCTATGCTAAGAGCAGAGGACTGTTCATGGCACCGGCACTACTGCCATGGAAGTGGCTTACGGATGCTCCACATCTAGATGCACACCCTAGTTTTTTTCACAATGTGTCATCAAGAATTTACGGGGTGGCATATCTTTACCCAGCCATTGACAAGTAAGGAGAAGACGAGCAGAGAAAAAGCCCAGCACTACTGTCAAAATTGGAGAAAAAAGACTCCAAATGCAGCTGGCATGAGACAGAAAATACTTGAGTACTAAACTATGGTTCCAACTCTAAGGACTGCAGGATTTGAGAGGAGAGAGGTTCTAGTCCTGATTCTGCTACTAGCTAGCTCTGTGACCACAGGTAAGTGATCTGAACACTCTGAGGCTGTTTGCTTGGCTGTAAAATTAAAGGATCAGACTGGAAAGGTGGTTTTAAAAGATGATCTGTGGCTCCTTTGAACTTCTTGGGAGGAGCCCTGAAGACTGGAAGTAGGTAGAAGGCAAACAAGAGGAACATGTGTAATTCTAAGCCTCTTGTTTTTATCTTATTCACTGCAGCTATGCTTTGATTCAGCTTCCATGTAGGATCTCATTTGAAAAAAAAAAGGTTCCACTGCTTTAAAACAGTTGAAAGCCAATGGACCAGACATGATCCATCTCTAAGTCCTTTTCTAACAAGCTCAACATTTTGTATATACAAAATTGGTTTAAGTGCAAAGAGCTGGAGAAAAGGTAGGCCTTGTAACTAAACTCTGAAGGACTGTGACAGATGGGAATGCAGGAAAATGGGGTGGGAGGTGGACAGTGTAAGCTATGGTGTAGGCAGTGAAACATGCTGTAAGCGGTGAGGCTAGAAAGCCCAACTTCCCAGTAGCTCACGCTGACCACCCTTTAGCATGGATTTGAGTGCCTATATCCTGAGTGCTAAATGGAAAGTTGACAGCTTCTGAGCTAAAGGAAAGTTTAAACTTCCCTAAGTCCAATTCTCCTCTGGTGCCTCTGCTACTTCACCAGCCCACACTGAGTTCTCTCTTTGCTGCAAAGTCTATTAATAACAATGGCTCACATTTATTGAGTACTTACTCTGCCAGGCACTGTTCGAGGGGCTCTACATACATTAGCTCTTAATCCTAACAAAACTCTGAAAAGGTGGTGTTATTCTCCCTTTACAGATAAGGATACTAAGGCTCTGAAAGGCTTGCAAATGACAGAGCAGGAACCAGAACCCAAGTTTCTCTGAGTCTCTTACCATCTACACCTTACTGCCTTGTGGTATAAGCACCTGTTGAAACATGGCTTTGTACTCATGTTTAACATGGAAGAGCTGTCATTTTGTAGAATGCAGAGACTGAGTCAAAATATTAGTAACAACAACTACTACTATGAACTCCACCACCCACTACTACTGTAACCCACCATCAGAATTTATTGAATACCTATTATGTGCCAAGTACTATACTTAGTGCTCAACATATATTACCTTATGTAATCCTTTTAACAAACTCCTGAGTAGGTATAATTATCCCCACTTTAGAAACAAGGAAACTGAGGCTCAGGCAGTAGACTTCGCCCAGAGTCCTCTACAGGATTCCAAGTTCTTTGTGGGAAGACACTGAATTACGTATTCTAAGCACCTAGCCTAATGTGAGAGACACTCAAGGCACATAATTATTATTTAAATGAATGAATAAACAGAATCTTTGGTGGGGTTTTTCCAAACCTTCCCCTGAGCTCTCAAGCCAACTGAAGAAGCCTGACCTGCCACTTGAGCCTTGAGCCCTTCCCAAACGCCTCCCCTGCTCCCCTGCTTCTTACTTCCACCAGGCGGATCTCCCTAGCCAGATCTTTAATGAGCTGTACGGTCCGTACTGTCTCCGGAATCTCATCCTCATGGTCTGGCAGAGCCTGTCAAACAAAAGGCATAAGGAATAGACCCACACATAAACGGACAACTGATTTTTGACAAAGGTACCAAGGTAATTCAATGGATAAGGGTAGTTACTCTAAAAAATGGTACTGGACCAATTGGATACCCATATGCAAAAAAAAGAACCTCAATCCACATCTTGCACCACACACTCACACACAGGCACACAAACTCAAATTGGATCATAGACTGAAATGTAAAATCTAAAACTATAACCCCTTTAGAAGAAAACAGAGGAGAAAATCTTTGTGACCTTGGGTTAAACGAAGATTTCTGAGGACACAAAAAGCATGAGCCATAAAAGAAAAACAACTGATAAATTGGACTTCATAAAAAAAAAAATCTTCTCTTCCAAAACCACTATTAAGACAAACCAGAGACTGTGAGGCAGTATTTGCAAAACCTGTATCTGATAAAGGGCAGTGTCAAGAGGTGTGAGGAACTCAATGGTGGGCTTGGGCCATAGCCCTCAAAAAGTCCAGAATCCCTAGGGAGAACATGGCCTCTTTACTTGTGAGGACAGAGCTCAGTGCTGAGCAGCTACAGGCCCATGGCTAGCTCAACAGCAACCAAGGCTAAGACCTCTTGGTTGTCTCTCTTTTAATTTGTTTGTAATCTTTTTGAATCTTCAAGATTTACATCTTTATGTAAACAGATCTCCCAAGTTTCTCCCTTGTGATTTCTTCTACCAGTTTTCACTTCACTTCTGTATCCAGAGGACTGATAAAAACTCCTCAGCATTACCTTCTTACTTCCCATGGTTTGAATCTTCTTTTTTCCTTGACTCTTTTAATCCATCTTTATTTTGGTGGCTGGGCAGGGGTGGGGTCCGAGAACCCATGTGATCCAGCTGGATAAATTTAATAGCTCCCTCCACCCAGCCCAAGGGCTCTGGAAAGGTCAGGGAGTGAGTACCTCCCATGGAAGTCATCTTCACTTCACAAAAGACTTATTCCATAAGAATGGGCTCCTCAGATCTGTGTCCTACTCTCCTCCAGCTCCCTTTGGCTGTGCTATTTGGGGCCAACCTGGCTCAGGGCCTGAGTGCTTAAGACTCTTCCCGCCCTCCCTCCCTTTTGTTATTCCTGGGACAGAGTCACTCCAAAGTTCACCTCATGGAGGGGGGGAGGGGAAGGTCCGAAATGAAACCCAAGGTAGCTACACCTGAGGGATGTGGAGAAACAGAACAGTAGGCTAAGGCCCAGGTGTAGGTGAGTCCAGGGACGAAGAGAAGGCCCAAGACATGAAGTCCAAGGATATCTGAGGGGAAGGATGGCAACAGGAAATGGAGACATTGTACAAGTTAAGCCTATAATGGCTGAAGATCTCCATATGCAGGGGGAAAAGTCTATAAAGAATATCAAAAGCATGAGAATATTGATATTTCTCTTTCTTTGTATTTCTTAAAATTGTTTTTTTAAGTCAACATTTTGAGTAGGTAATCCATTTACAGAGTTCAAAAATCAAATAATATAAAGAAATATACTGAAAAGTGTCAACATACATTTGTCCATGCCATCAGTCCCATTAGCCCGCACCCACAGGTAACCACTTTTCTTCTACATCCCTCCAGATTGTGTCTTCAGGCAAATACAAGCACATACAGATGTAATTCTTGTCCCCCCTCCCCACTTTTAACACATAAAGAAGCACATTATATACATGATTCTACATCTTTACTTGACAAATTCTGGAGATCTTTCCAGATCAGTACAGAGAAAACTTCCTTATTCTCTTTTATAGCTGTTTAGTATTCAATTGGATAGATGGACATTGGTGTATTTCTACAAAGCCATTTTGGCAGTATGCAGTAAGAGCCTTACGTTTTTTTCATATACTTTGAGCCAAAAATTGCTCTTCTTGGAATCTATCCTGAAGCATCAAGAGATGAGGGAAAAAGGCTGATGCAAACAGATAGTCACTGCATGATTTTTCAATAACTACCCCCCAAATAAAGCAACAATAAACAAGCAGTTAGGTAAGGATGGTATATCCCTGCAAAAGAATATCATGTAACTATTAAATGTTCGTGGAGAACTTTGAGGACACAGGAAATTAACGTAAGCTAACAAATTCAGATACAAAATTGTATGTATAGTGATAGCAATCATGTTTCTTAAATGCATATAAAAAAGACCAGAAGAAAATACACCCACAGATTAATGTTAATTCCCTCTGAGTGCTAAAATTACAGGTGATGTTTTCCCTTCCTTACACCCTTCTGTATTTTTTCTAATTCTCTAGAGTAAGCCTGTGTCACTTTTTATAATCAGAAAGAAAGGTTTAAAAATGTAATCCAAAAAGTCCTAACCCAGTCCTCCATTCTAACCCCAGAAGGCCACAAGCCTCCCTGGTCTCATCCACCACCCCAAAGCATCTACCCAAAGCCAGTCTCTGTGGAGGCCACAACTATAAAGGAGGTAGATAAATAAGTATATTTACTTCTTTCTTTGTCCAGGCTCTAAAGGCCAAGTTCAGAGCTTTGCCACCATGGACCAGGTAGGATGCTGGGTGCCTCCTATTCTCTCGCAAACCTAAAGGGCGAAGGAGGAAGGCAGAGGGTCAATAAAGCCATGTGGGGAAACAAAGGAACTGTTTCTTTTTTCAGGCAATCAGAGAAAATACTCAGGGTTCTAGGCATGACTCCAGATCTCAGTTCTTACAATAGTGTTCATTTAATGAGTACCTACTACATGCTGGGCGTTTAACATCTACTATCTCATTTAATCTTTATACCCACCTACTACCCAAGCATCATTATCTTCACTTTACTACCCAGGAAACTGAGATTCAGAGAAGCAAAGAGACTTAACCAAGGGCACATACCTAGTAACTGCCAAAGCTAAGACTGAAGCCATGTCTATCTGAATCTGAGGCCTATGTTCCTTCTACCACACTGGAAGTGTGCTCTGCCTCTTGGGTTTCAAAATGCAAACACTCAGGAGAACCATGATTGCAACCTACACAGACATGAAGGGCCATTAATAAATGCCCTTATCCCTGAGTCACTCCAAGAGGAGGTTATGACAAATAGCCAGCTTTACGGTCAATACGGAATTTTCTACTGAACTGAGCTATTCAGAACAGGTAACAAGTGGCTAATCATTGAGCCTCTGATTGAACACTTAAGTGCAGTCTGTCTAGGTGGCAGATTAAGGGCCTGAAGTAGTAGGTAGAAGACTGTATTCATTGGCCTTTGAGATTCTTTGTAAATCTAAAATACTGATTGCTCATGGCCAAGTTACCTTGAAGAATCTCAGGTCTGAGCAAGGTTGCTGCTCCATTTCAAAGCAGAAAAGAAGAAACCCAGCAGTTTGGCTTACCACCTGGTCTGATACCAACACAATGATGCCAGCATGGTCAGGACTGGCCTTGTCCTCATTTCATGGGAAGCACATTCAGGAAACTCTGAGACTGTCCAGTTTGAGTTTCTTACTTTAATTAGCAGGGGATAGGGATAATTTCACTGTAATTCAATTTTCTCAGCCACCTTTGCTAAATAAAGTTAAAATACATGCTCTACCATACATTATACTTAATAAAAAAAAAGTCAATCTCAAAAGATCACACACTATATGATTCCATGTTTACAGCATTCTTGACAAAATTATAGAGATGGGAAACATATCAGCGGTTTCCAGAAAGTATGGATAGTGCAAGGGGAAAGAATGGGTGAGACTATAAAGAAGTAACACTAGGGAGTTCTCTGTGGTGATGGAACGAACACACACACACACACACACACACACACACACACACACACACACTTACACTTGGGGAAGCAGGGCAAAAGGGACAGCTGGGAAAGGGATCCATACCTCGAAAGATGTCCAGGATGTGCTTTCCCACGTACCAACAGATGGTCTCAAAGTTAGGAAACTTGAAGAGGTCTGCTGTGCTCAGCCGCTTCTCAATCTCATAGGCTCTAGAGGAAGGAGGCACAATAATAGCAATGATAATAAGGATCCTGTTACTGACTACCTACTGTGTATCAGGTATTGTTCTGAATGTTTTGTATCCATTATCTCTAATCCTCACAACTACCCTGTAAGATCCAACTTTGTGGGTTAGGAAACTTGAGCTCAAATGTTATGTGACTTACCCAAAGTCACAAAACTACTAAGTAAGGAAGGGGTATTCATTCTCACACTGATCATTATCAGGAACCAGTATCTATTCCCTTCTCATCATCTCGCCTCCTTCTATGCTGCACTTCTCACTATAGGGGAGAACTCAAGGACTCTGGCAGGTGGGAATGGCCAACTCAGGATCACAATAGCTTGAGTACTCACTTGAGCTGCATTTCGATGTTAAGGCTGTGTAAGAAGTTCCCTCCAAAGGCAAGGCAGTCCACGGGAGTTAGCACAGCATGGATCCATCCTGCAGTGTAACATGGCAAAATCATAGCTGGCAGAGGACCTTACTTCCTCTGGACATCACTGCCCACTCAGCTCAAACATAACTCCTTAGAGCAGTCAGCCAGCAGTGACTCAGAAAGTTCTAGTTCCTCCACTCTTCCAACACCCATTCTGCCACCATTATAACCCTAAACTGGACCACCTTTTGGGGTTAATAAACTCTTTCGACTTTCCTCCTCTCAACCTCAAGTCTCTTTGATGCCTCACCCATCTTCTCTCCCATATCTTAGAAGGGCATTACCTCCTTGCCAAGTCTATCCCTTCTAACTCTACTCCAGGTAAAACAAAGAGCTTCTGTGTTGAACAAACCTGGGTTCAAAGTCTGCCATCTTCTAGCTAAATATCTATTTCACAAGGTGGTTGTGTACAGTGTGCACCTAGATGGAACTCAATTATTCTCCTTGCCCTTAACCCTACACTGCCTTCTGGGAAGTTCTAATTCTACTCTTAAATATCTCTCATATTCATCTTCCTTTCCCGGTTCATCCATCCTATCAAAGCCTTGGTTCAGATCCCTTATTACCTGTCACCTAGGCTATTTGCAACAGCCTCTAAACTGGCTCCTCTACACCAGCGGTTCTCATGGTATGGTCCAGGGAATCCTGAAGCTCCCTGATACTCCTTCAGAGCATATGCAAGGTCAAAACTATGCTCATAATACTAAGATGTTGTCTTTTTCACCCTCATTCCCTCACAGGTGTAGAGTGGAGTTTTCCAGAGGGTAAATGACATGACATCACAACACCGAGAAGCAGATTTAAGTATCAGTCATTTTCTATTAATCTAAACATCAAAAAGATTTTTAATAAGGTAGATGTCACCCTTCTCACTGTATTTTTGGTTTGAAAATAGCTATTTTTCATAAAAATTATTAATCATGCTAACATGTAATGAGTTTATTTCTCAATGAATTAATAAACAAATATTTTTAAATTTTCTCAGTTTTAATTTATAATATGGTAAATATTGATGACTATAATCCACATAAATAAAAGCCCTTTGGGGTTCTCAGTAAAACTAAAGAGTATAAAGGGGTCCTAAGTGCAAAGTGTTTGTAAACCACTGCTCTGTGCTAATCTCAATCTCTGAAGTCTATCCTCCACATCTCAACCCTAAGTGATATATCTAAAATACAAATCTGCTCATGTCATCCCCTACTCAAAACTCTTCAATAAAATGTACATCCACAGGAGAATGGATAAATTGCCATATACTAATACAATAGAATATTGAAAAGTAAGTTGAGTGAACAACTACATGTATCAGCATGAATCTCATAATCATAATGTCCACAGGAAAAAGTTGGGAAGAACTGTCTAATATGATTCCATCTACATAACATCCAAAAACATGTAAAACAATACTAGATACTGGTTTGGTGAGCTATACCTATACAATAAAGGAATAGAAATAATCACCAACTTCAGAACAATGGCTAGCTCAGAGAGGGAAAAATGGGAATGAAGTGAGGAGAGGTATACAGGGGGCTTCAAATATAATTGCAACGTTTTATGTTTTTAGTTGGGTTACAAACACATAAATGCTTATTTCATTATTCTTTATATCTTTTGCTACATAAACAAATAAACTTACTGTGATCCCCCAGCCACCTCTTGGGTAAGTTCAGCCCGCCTACCTTCTCAGCTTCACCTGTTTCCAGCCTTTGATCTTTAGGCTCCAGTATCCATAAACTACTTCACATAGCCTTGCTTTGCTTATGCCTTTCCCTATGTCTGAGAGGCCTTTTCTGCCTTTCTCCTCTTGGTCACTCCTACATTTATCTGCCAGGTGTTACTCTTCTGAGAATATTTTCACAAACCTCCAGCTAGACTAAGTGTTCTTTTCCATGCTCCCAAAACTTCTGGTGAATGCCTCCATTGTGGCTATTAGAACATTATACTGAAATGAGCCTGGGTGGCTCAGTCAGTTAAGCATCCAACTCTTGATTTTGGCTCAGGTCATGATCTCACGGTTTATGAGACTGAGCCCTGTGTTGGGCTCCATGCTGTCAGAGTAGAGTCTGCTTGGGATCCTTTCTCTCTCCCTCTCTCTGCCCTTCCCCTGCTCATGCTTTCTCTCTCTCCCAAAATAAATAAACTTAAAAAAAAATCTAGAACATTATACTGAAATGATCTATCAATCTTTTGTCCCTAGCACCTAGACCAATGCAGGGGCATTCAGTAGACCTGCAATGCTTATGGAACGAAGTAGATAACACCCAGTTTGTGTGACTTTATACCAATAAGCAACTAATCCAACTCAAATCTCTGGTAGACAAATTCAATTCATCAAATAGTTATTAAGTGCCCAGCATAGAAAAGGTATTATGTGAGACCCTATTAGGCAAAGGATTCAAAGATGAATAAATGGATGAATAAGTGCCTGGGCTCAGAAACCTATAAAAGAGAAAAGCAGATGGGTATGAGGGGAGGTAATTTTGCCTCACCATCTGTGAAACATTCTATAAAACCAATGTAATCAAATCAATATGATATTGACATATGAATAGACAATCTGTGCAACAAAAAATCCAGAATTATACAATACATAACATTAGACAAAGATATTAGAGCTGTATGACAATTTTAAAGCAGTGATCATAAGAATGTTTCAATGAACAATTATAAACATGCTTGAAACAAAAAAAAACAGAAAGAGAAAATATAAGAAACAAATGTAAATTTCAGAACTGAAAAATACTATATCTGAAATAATGAAAACAGATGGACTCAACAGAAGAATAAAAACAATGGAGAAATAGAAAGTACTCAATATTAACAAAAGAGGAAATAGACTGAAAAAAATAAACTCAGGGATCTGTGGACTACAGCAAAATATATACAGCATTCAGATAATCAGAGACCCAAAGAAAAGAAATGAGAGTGTGGGGATGAAAAATCATTCAAAGAAATAACAACTAAAAATTTCTTCACTAATATGACAGAAACATAGACCTACACATTCAGGAAGCTCAGTCAACACAAACAGTATAAACCCAAAGAAATACATGCCAAGACACATTATAGTCAAACTGCTGAAAACTAAAGAAAAAAGAAATTACAAGTAGCAAGAAATGACACATGTAAGGGAAAAAACAATTTGAATGAGAGCCAAAATTTCATCAGAAGCTATGGAGGCAAGAAGGAAGCAGCACAACATTCTTCCAAGTGCTGAAAGAACTATCAATCCAGCAAAAATATCCATTAGGAATAAAAGGGAAATCAAGACATTTACAGATGAAGGAGAACTAAGAAAATCTACTGACAGCAGGCCTACCCTAAAACTCTAAACAGAGAAGAAATGATAAAAGAAGAATCTTGAAACACCAGGAAGGAAGAAAGAACAACCAAAGAGTAAAAATACAGGCAAACAGGTGCGCCTGGGTGGTTCAGTCGGTTAAGCGTCCGACTTCGGCTCAGGTCATGATCTCATGGTTCGTGGGTTTGAGCCCTGCATTGAGTTCTTTGTGCTGACAGCTCAGAGCCTGGAGCCTGCTTCAAATTCTGTGTCTCCCTCTCTCTCTGCCCCTCCCCTGCTTGCTCGCTCTTTCTCTGTCTCTCAAAAATAAATAAACATTAAAAAAAATGCAGGTAAATACAATAGACTTTCCTTCTCTTGGGTGTTAGAAGTTATGTTTGACAGTGAAACAAAAATTGAAACACTGTATGATATGGTTCTCAATGTATGAAGAAATATTTAAGACAAATACATTATAAATGGGAAGGGTAAAGGGATGTGAATAGAGGTAAGGTTTCAACCTTCCCCTCAAACTGGTAAAATGTTAATTAAAATGTCAATACCAGACTGTGATATGATGTATATATCTATTATACATATAAATTAAACAAGAGCAACTACTAAAAACCTATACAAACCACAGGCTAAAAATTCATATGGAAATACAAGGGCCCTGAATAGCCATAATAATCTTGAAAAAGAAAAACAAAGTTGGAAGACTGACACTTTCTGATTTTAAAACTTACTAGAAATATATGGTAATTGAAATAGTGTGATACTGTTATAAGGACAGACCTATAGACCAATGGAATAGAATTCAAAGTGCAACAATAAACAAATACATCTGTGGTTAACTGATTTTCGACAAAGGTGTCAAGACAATTCATTAGGGAAAGAATGGTCTTTTCAAATGGTTCTGAGACAACTGAACAGCCACATGAAAAAGAATGATATTGGACCCTTACCTCACATCATATACAGAAGTTGACTTGAAATGGATAAAAGACCTAAATGTAATAACTAAAACTATAAAGCTCTTAGAACACAGATGTAAATCTTCATGACCTTAAACTATGAATTAGGCAATGGTCTCTTAGATACGACACCGAAAACACAAGCAAATAAAGAAAAAAGTAGATAAACTGGACTTTTGTTCTTTCTAGGACACTATAATGAAACTGAAAAGACAACCCCCAGAGAGAAAATATTTTTAAATTACATATCAGATAAGGTACAATATCCAAAATATATATTAAAAAAAACTCTTACAACACAACAATAAAAAGACAAATCACCTAATCGAAAATTGGGCAAAAGTTCTGAATAGATTCTACTCCATAAAAAGATACACAAATGTCTAATAAGCACATGAAAAAATGTTTGACATCAACAATCATTAGGGAAATACAAATTAAAATCTCAGTGAGGGGTGCCTGGGTGGCTCTGTCGGTTAAGCATCCGACTTTGGCTCAGGTCATGATCTTACAGTTTGTGGGTTCAAGCCCTGCATCGGGGTCTGTGCTGACAGCTGAGTCTGGAGCCTGCTTCAGATTCTGTGTCTCCCTGTTTCTCTGCCCCTCCCCTGCTCACGCTCTGTCTCACTTTCTCAAAAATAAACATTAAAAAAATAAAAAATAAAATAAAATCTCAATGAGATACCACTTCACATGCACTAGGATGGCTATAATCGCAAAGACAGACAAGAACAAGTGTTGAGGAGGATGTGGAAAAATTGAGACCCTTATAAATTGCTAGTGGGAATGTAAAATGGTGTTAGGTACTTTAGAGAACAGTTTGGTAATTCCTCAAGAAGTTAAAACAGAGCTAACATATGACTCAGCAATTCCTTTCTTAGGTATGCACCCAAGAGAACTGAAAATATACATTAACACAAAACTTTGCACATGATCATTCATAGCAGCATTATTCATTATAGTCAAAAAGTGGAGACGCCTGGGTAGCTCAGTCAGTTAAGCGTCCAACTCTTGGTTTCGGCTCAGGTCATTATCTTATAGTTTGTGGGAGTGAGCCCCACATCGGGTCTTGTGCTGAAAGCATGGAGCGTGCTTGGGATTTATCTTGCACTCTCTCTTGCTCTCTCTCAAAAAATAAACATAAATTAAAAAAAAAAACACTTAAAACAACACAAACGCCTATAAGATGATGAAAGGATAAACAATATGTGGTATATCCATGCAGTAGAATATTGTTCAGCCATTTAAAGACTAAGTACTGACAAATGCTATAACTTGGATGAACCCTGAAAATATTTTGCAGAGTGAAAAAGCCAGACACAAAGGACCACATATTGAACAGTTCCATTTGTATGAAATAGAAGAGGCAAATCCATATACAAAGAACGGACAAAAGTGGGTTGACAGGGGTGAGAGGAGGAGTGGAAGGAATGGGGAGTAACTGTTAATGAGTACAGGATTTCTTTTTGAAGTGATGAAAATTTTCTGGTATTACATAGTGGTGATGGCTGCACGACATTGTGGATATATTTTTTAAACTTAACTGCACTCTTTAACATGGTAAGTTTTATGGTGTGTGTTATATACCAATTTTTTTGAAAAGTACACTTAACTAAATGAAAATGAACACTGAACATATCAAAATATATGACACAGCTAAATCAGTGCTGAAGGGGAAACTTACAGCACCAAATGCTTACATTACAAAAGAGGTAAAGTCTGAAATCAATAATCTAAGCTCTTGTCTCAAGACTGGAAGGAGCAAAATAAACCCACAGCAAGCAGAAGGAAGGAAAAACAAAGATAAAAGCAGAAATCAATGAAGCTGAAAACATAAACAGAAAAAAATCAATTGAGACAGAAAGTGTTTCTTTAAAAAGTTTGAAAAATTGACAAACCTCCATCAGATTGACACAGAATAAGAAAAGGCCCAAAAAACTAATACCAGGAATGAAACCAAGGATATCAGGGTGCCTGGGTGGCTCAGTCAGTTGAGCATCTTACTCTTGGTTTCAGCTCAGGTCATGATTTCACAGTAGTGGGATCAAACCCCAAGGAGGACTCTGTGCTGGCAGCTCAGAGCCTGCTTGGGATATTTTCTCTCTCTCTCTCTCTCTCTCTCTCTCTCTTCCCTCTCCCTGCTCTCCCTCTCAAAATGAATAAATAAACATAAAAAATTTAAAAAAAAGAAACAGAGGATATCACTAGAGACTTGGAAGACATCAAAAGGATAATAAGAAAATACAATCAACAACTCTGCATACATAAATTTGACAACTTAGATAAAATGGACCAATTCCTTGAAAAGCACAAACTACCATAGCTCACCCAATATGAAACAGATAATTTGAATAATCTACTAAAGTTTAAGGAAATTGAATGTTAATTAAAAACTTCCCCACAAAAGAAATCTCCAGGTCCATGTGACTGCACTAGAGAATTCTACCAAAGGTTTGAGAAAACTTAACATTAATTCTGAAATCAAAGAATGAAGTTTAAGAAATCAAGGAAGGAGCACCTGAAGTGGCTCAGTCGGTTATGCGTCTGACTTTGGCTCAGGTCTTAATCTCACAGTTCGTGAGTTTGAGCCCTGTGTCAGGCTCTGTGCTGACAGCTCAGAGCCCAGAGCCTGCTTTGGTTTCTGTGTCTCCCTCTCTTTCTGCCCCTCCCCTGCTTGCATTCTCTCTCAAAAAGAAATAAACATTAAAAAACTAAAAGAAAAGAAATCAAGGAGGATCTAAATAAATGGAAAGACATACTGGGTTCATCAAAGACTCAACATGGTAAAGATGTCAACTTCCCCAAATTGAGACAACTGGGGGCACTTTTTCAAAACATACACTCAGATCCCACCCCAGACCTAAAAATCCATAATGCTAGGGGTAAAGCCTAGGCATGTATTGTTTGGGGGGTGGGGAAAGCCCCACCCCCACCCCAGGTAATTCTGATTTATAGACTGCAATGCCAGCCTCCCAGTCACTATTCCTAGAGCCATGGGGCTGAGAGACCTATTCTCTACCTGTCCACCAAGTTGGCATAGCCCAGTGCAAGAGGTCCATCAACCTCTTCCTGTACCTTCCCACCTGCAATCTCCCCAAGGAACTATGCTGCCTACTAGCCATCACATGCATTTTCTTAAGGTCCAATTCTGAGTCATCAGCTGATATGAGAGGGTTTTCCCACATAATCGGATCAATATATTATAGGAAGGATCTACCTCTGGTACCACAACCTCCCTTTCTCTTCCAGCCCTCCTGAAACCCTCCCAGAGGGGGCCCAGGGAAGACCTGTAGGAATGAAAAGTGTCTGTCCTTGCTTCACGGAACATTTATAGCACTTGTCCACCTGGTCCCCAAAAAACATCTCATTCTGGTTAGAGGAGCTGCTCCAGCACTCAAAGAGAGTCAGATTGGCATCTGTTGGGCGGATCAGGTAGAAGATCTTCTCACCCTGAAACAAAACAGGTTTAGGTGCCAAAAATATCAACAATTTCCATAAAAATCCTCCAGAGGGTCTCCAAAAGGATATTTTCTCTCCCATGCTCCAAGACCACATAATATGACAGATTCTCCCCCAAACCCATCCAGTAATCATTTTTATGTGGATTTGGAAAACTTCAAAAGCTCCTTTTGTACTTTGTGCTTTTGAGCCTCTGTAAGATTGACAAAAAATGATTTGGAAAGGGCATTCCAAACAAAATTGTTCAACTTAGGACAAATATACACCAAAAGCTTCTACTTTAGATACAAAGTCAAATGAAAAATGGCCTCTATAGATGAGTAGATCAATACTACTAGCCGTAGGAGAATTTAAGGCCACATTACTGATGAGAAAATTGAATTTGCCTTTAAATGCCATTTACAGAGAGTGTTCCTTCTTACACCTGCAACCAAAGCTAATAAAAGTTTAAAAGTTCAGTAATTGCCCAAGGACTTCTAAAAGATTATATGTTAGGCGATTATCTGTTGGAAAAACATTTTATTTCCTAATTATGTTTTGCCTAGACAATCACCAGATTATTTGGTTGAAAAGAAATAAAAGCCCACCAGCACAAAAATATCCTCAACATACAGCTGATTAGTTTAACCAATATTTCCTGATAATAAATTTCAATGTAGAAGAGCAATAACACTAGAAATTATCTATTGCACAATTGGAGAAATTTCATTCAGATCTGTAGATTAGATAACAGTATCCTATCAATATTGATTTTCTGATTTTGATAACTATACTGCAGTTATATACGAGAATGCCCTTATTTTCAAGAAATATGCACTGAATTATAAGATAAAGGGACACATGTCTGCAACTACTCTCAAATGTTTCAGAAAAAAAAATATATATATACACATATATATATATATATATATAGAACTATTTTATCATGTTTGCTTTATAGAATGAATATAATAAAATGTAACATTTGGGGAATCTAAGTGAAGGGCACACAGGCATTCTTCCTACCATTTTTGCAATTTTTCTATAAAAAAGGAATTATTGGGGCACCTGGGTGGCTCAGTCGGTTAAGCATCCGACGACTTCGGCTCAGGTCATGATCTTGCGGTCTGTGAGTTCGAGCCCCGCGTCAGGCTCTGTGCTGACCGCTCAGAGCCTGGAGCCTGTTTCAGATTCTGTGTCTCCCTCTCTCTCTGACCCTCCCCCGTTCATGCTCTGTCTCTCTCTGTCTCAAAAATAAATAAACGTTAAAAAAAATTAAAAAAAAATAAAAAAGGAATTATTTTAAAATGAAAAAGTTAAATCTAACATTTGCATAGCAGTGATTTACATGCTCCAATTTCATGATAAACCAGTGGAAACAACTAGTTTAGGATTTGTGATCATTTGGACAAGAGCCGTATCCAAGTCTTCTGCTCTTTCCTTGGCATTTCTGATAAGAAAAATAAATAGTATGATGGTGGAAAAGAATCAAAATTACTTAAGAAATTTGTTTTCCAGGGGCGCCTGGGTGGCTCAGTCAGTTAAGCATCTGACTTCAGCTCAGGTCATGAACTCACGGTTCATGAGTTTAAGCCCTGGGTTGGGCTCCGTGCTGACAGCCTGGAGCCTACTTCGGATACTGTGTCTCCCTCTCTCTCTGTTCGTCTCCCACTTGCTCTCTTGTCTGTCTCTCTCTCTCCCAAAAATAAAGATTAAAAAAAAATTGTTTTCCAGACTTTAAAAATCCTTCATAGTCACTGATAATCAATACGCTAATTACAAAATTGAAACAATCACTAAAAGGGAAACTACCCATAGGAAGGCTAACATTAAAAAAAAAAAAAAAAAACCTGTCATGGGCACCTGGGTGGCTCAATTGGTTAAGTGTCCAACTCTTAGTTTCAGCTCAGGTCATGATCTCACGGTTTGTGAGATCAAGCCCCACATCGGGCTCTGTGCCGACAGTGCAAAGCCTGCTTGGGATTCTCTATCTCTCTGACCCTCCCCTACTTGTTGCACATGGTCTCTCTCTCAAAATAAATAAATACACATTAAAAAAAAACTTGTTATATATATGCTCTATCTTGGTAGTGGCAGTTATGCAACTGCATACAATGTCAAAACTCATCAAACTATACATTTAGAAAAGATTAATTTTATGGTGTATAAATTATACCTCAATAAGGACGGGGGATGGGAAGTTTCTCATGTTACCAAGAATCTGTAGTAAATATGAACATTTCCATACATAGTCATAGGAGTATAGATTGGTTCAATTAACAGCCAGAAAACCTTAGGCATCTGCTGTTATTCAAAAAAATGTTAAGCATCAAAACTGTAGAGACAGTTTATATGGCATATCCACTTAGTGCCCAACCCTGATAGAGTAGTTATATGGAAATGTCACCCAAAAAGAATCTGGGAGGCAGGTAAAACCTCAGCAGCCTCTTCTGTGCTGCCACGTGAAACAAAGAGGGTGGCCCAAGGCCAGGCTGCCTCTAGAAGCCACATTCATTCCTACCTTGAGCACATGGTACCAGACCGAGGTGCCACCAAAGTCAATGTGAAAGTCTGTATAGCTATCCCGCACACTCATGAGGCAGTACTTTTGCACATTGGGCCTCTCAAATATACACTCCTCTGGCCACAAGTTCTCCACCCACGAGAGCTTCCGAACAATCTTGGGAGTCTCCACAAGGTTAGAAAGCCTAGCAAGGAAGGGGTGGAGAACAGACGTCAGCTGATTGGGAATTAAAGATTAAAGCCTGAATAAAATGCTCCCCATCCCAGTGAGAGTCAAATAAGGCAAAGAAGTCCTTTCCACAGGATCCCCAAGGGCACATAGGATACTTATTTCTATAAGTCTGGTCAGCATCCTCATTCCACTCAGCTCTAGAAGTCCCAAGTCCCAGCTCCACAGCATTCCCCAGTCAAAGGAGGTCATTTCCTCCACAAAATGCTCATAACTCCCTTCACCCAGGTCCACTCACTTGGCACGGAGTCAATAACAGTTATTATACTGTCCCCATGTCTTAATGTCTTCTTTATGAGGAACCATTAGAGAAACCTTTCAAGGGCTCAGTTTCAGGTAGTGTTTCTCCCCAACATCTGGTTGTTTTTATCTTACCTAAAACCACAAACCTTATGATATTGCACTCCTTCCTTGTCCTTACTTTCAGGAAATTGACTGAAAACGCTACAGTCCTTCTCTAACAACTATCCAGACACTCATACACGCATTTTGTGTGCAGATTACCCACCAGATGCATCCTATTTCTCCACTTTTACTTTCCTTTTGTGCCAGTTTTGTCTATTCTTTCCTCTCTGTATCTCTGTAAGCTACCTCAAATAGCCTTTCAAGATGAAGTGAGATACAAACAAACACAGCTTTAAAAAAAAAAACCCTCAGGTTGTTAACTCTGATGTTAATACCAACAGCAAGGATTTTAATATTGTATAGTTATTTAAAATGTTGCCATTGATGGAAACTGGTTGAAGAATACACAGGACACTCTGTACAGATTTTTGCAACTTCCTGTAAATCTATAATTATGTCAAAATTAAAAGTTAAAAAAGTACATAATCAGACAATAAGTTTTCTAAGTGCAAAAAGATATGTTACAATTTGGGAAATTTCCCGCATTTCTGAGCACAGAGAAGACTACATGTATCTACTGAGTGCATGAGTCCAGATAGAATCATTTAAAGGTTATAAAAAGCTCTTTTTTCTTTTATATCTAAGTAACCTTACCCTTAGAGAAACTACTTGGGGGTAATTCAGTAAATCTATTTCCAGGGACAGAGGACCTATACTGGGAATTAAATAGTGACCGCACCACAATCTAAATACCAAAAAAAAAAGTCTAAGAAAGCTGTCCTGGGTCTTGGAGACAAAAATTAATTAAAATAGCTACTGTATAACCTATCCAATGTTAGAAACTGTAGAAGAGAAATACAATTTGGTTGTTATAATGGGAACAGCTACCCTAGAAAGTATAAACCAGCTCATCATCCCAAAGGAAGAAACTACCAAGAGGAAGGGAAAAAGGAACACTTATACTCAGTATATCACAAGTTCCAGGGACTTTGTTAGGTTTTTTACTTACCCCTGCTCCTCCTACCTGGTATCAGAGAATTCCAAACTAATGACATTGAGGACTTTCTCCCTCTTCCCACTATAATAGTATTTCACAAAATCACCAAGCTTCATCTTGCAGTCAGCCTGGCGGGTCACATCAATCACATCAATCTCTTTGTCAGAACCTAGAATAAAAAGATAGATTCTGCACCAAGTGGTCTCAGGGACTGGGGAAGTCTCCCTCCCCCCTTCACCTGTACCTAGAATGGACTGACACTCAAAACTTCTCACCGCACACACTGTATTTGTATGTATGTATGTAGGAATCCCTCACGCTCTCCTTACACCAATGTGCTGGGTCCAGGCCTATTAGAGTAACACAACTGCCTGACATACAGTCTCACTCATGATACAATCCACATGCCTGGGCCTATTCCCTCACTTCTCTTCCTATCCCCGAAATTTAATGCCCAGAAGACAAATGGCACATGAGGGCAAAAATCAGAGGTTTTCTTATCTCAAAAGAAGGGAGACTCCTGGGGCGCCTGGGTGGCTCAGTCGGTTAAGCGTCCGACTTCAGCTCAGGTCACGATCTCGCAGTCAGTGAGTTCAAGCCCCGTGTCGGGCTCTGGGCTGATGGCTCGGAGCCTGGAGCCTGCTTCCGATTCTGTGTCTCCCTCTCTCTCTGCCCCTCCCCATTCATGCTCTCTCTCTGTCTCAAAAATAAATAAAAAGGTTAAAAAAAATTTAAAAAAAAAAAGAAGGGAGACTCCCATGATCCCTGGAATTTCCCTGGTAAAAAAAAAAAGTGGGGCTCAGCCTGGGGGCTCGGGGCCTATTAAGGAGGAAAAGAAAACCAGGATTTTGGTTCTAGTTTTGCCAAAGACTGACTCCGGGCAAAGCACTTTACCTCATATTCCCAAGATGGCTAGAAAAGAAATACAAAGGTAGACTGGAAGCAAAGGGTCACTGGTCTTGATGGGAGTGAATGATGTCACAGTTAGGATAGTTCATCTTTCTTACCAACATAGTGTTCCACGTCCCTCACAGTGAATGATGGTGAAGGCAGTGTCATCCCCAATCCATCCTTCTTCAAGACTAGGATGGGCACACTGAAGCTATTCTCCTCCAAGAATTCCACAGTCAGCTGACTTCCAGTGGGCTTCAGAATCACTTCATCTGAGCTGTGGACCACATGAGAGAAAGCCTGAGCCCCAGAGGCACTGACACTAAAGGCTTCACTTGATGCTGCCATTCACCCAAGGGGTGGGGCCTTCCTGAGCAGACCTTAATGTGGACTGTAAACTAATGACATATACCTCATGTGCCAGGGAAGAAATGACTTATCCAAGGTAAGAAACCAGGTCACTGGCAGAGGTGGGGAGCTAACCCAAGGATATCTTAATAGCATACTCTTCTCTGAATGGCAAAAGAAGAAATCAGTCAATAACCTGCCCAGAAAGAAAAGATGTATCTGCAATTTTAGTTAATTTACTCTAACCCAGAGCAGGGTCACCCATTTAAAACACTGGCAAATAAAAAAAGACTGATTTGCAAATGACATATCCAATAAAGGGTTAGTATCCAAAATACATAAAGAACTTACACACTCAACACACACACAAAAAATGCAAGTAATCCAATTTAAAAATGGGCAGAAGACATGAACAGACACTTCTCCAAAGAGGGCATACACATGGCCAATAGACACATGAAAAGATGTTCAACGTCACTCATCACCAGGGAAATGCAAATCCAAACTACAATGAGATATCACCTCATACCCATCAGAATGGCTGAAATCAAAAACACAAGAAACAACAAGTGTTGGCAAGGATGTGGGCAAACTGGAACCCTCATGTACTGTTGGCGGGAATGCAAAGTGGTACAGCCACTGTGAAAAACGGTATGGAGGTTCCTCAAAAAAATAAAAACAGAACTACCATATGATCTAGTAATCACACTACTGGGTACTTACCCAAAGAATATGAAAACACTAATTTGAAAGGATAATATGTACCCCAATTTTATTGCAGCATTATTTACAATAGTCAAATTATGGAAGCAACCTAAATGTCCATCAATTGATGAATGGATAAAGAAGATGTGTGTGTGTGTGTGTGTGTGTGTGTACACACACACACACATACATATAATGGCATATATATACATTGGAATATTATTCAGCCATAAAAAAGAATGAAATCTTACCATTTGCAACAACATAGACAGAGCTACACAGCATAATGCTAAGTGAAGTAAGTTAGTCAGAAAAAGACAAATACCAGATGATTTTACTTATATGTGGAATTTAAGAAACCAAACAAAGGAAAAATAAAGAGACAAATCAAAAAACAGATTCTTAACTACAGAGAATAAACATGGTTATCAGAGGGGAAGTAAGTGGGGGGAATGGGGGAAATAGGTGAAGGGGGTTTAAGAGTACACTTATCTTGAAGACCACTGAGTAATGTATACAATTGGTGAATCACTATACTGTACACCTGAAACTAACAGAACACTGTATGTTAACTATACTGGAATTAACATAAATAAAAAATAAAAAATAAAAGACTGATTAAAACAACAATTTTTACAACCAATTTCTCAACACATGTATGTAATTAACTAGAAACAGGAGTTTTTATTTTTTTAAATCATGTTGGAGGAAGATGGACTATTTGACCAAGTTGTGTTGGAACAAGCAACTGGAAAAATATTAAGCTCAATGTCTATCTTTCTCTTTACATAATTCTAGATAGATCAACATTTAAATTGAAAAAAAAATGAAGCCATCTGTATGTCTTCTTTGGAAAAATGTTCATGTCTTCTGTCCATTTCTTAACTGGATTATTTATTTTGGGGGTGTTGAGTTTGATAAGTTCTTTATAGATTTTGGATGCTAATCCTTTATCAGATACATCATTTGCAAATATCTTCTCCCATTCCACAGGCTGCCTTTTAGTTTTGTTCATTTTTCCAAAGAAGACATATAGGTGGCTAACAGACACATGAAAAGATGCTCAATATAACTCATCATCAGGGAGATACAAATCAAAACCAAATGAGATACCACCTCACACCTGTCAGAATGGCTAAATAGAAACAGGAAACAACAGATGTTGGTGAGGATTTAGAGAAAGGGGAACCGTCTTACACTGTTGGGGGGGAATGAAAACTGGTGCAGCTACTCTGGAAAACAGTATGGAGGTTCCTTAAAAAAATAAAAAATAGAACTACCCTATGACCCAGCAATTGCACTACTAGCTATTTACCCAAAATACACAAAAATATTGATTCGAAGGGGTATATGCACCCCGATGTTTATAGCAGCATTATCACCAATAGCCAAACTATGGAAAAAGCTCAAAAGTCTATCGACTGATGAATCAATAAAGAGGATGTGGTGTATATATACAATGGTGTATATATACAATGAAATATTACTCGGCCATCAAAAAAAAATGAAATCTTGGGGTGCCTAGGTGGCTCAGTCAGTTAAGCATCCTACTCTTGATTTTGGCTCAGGTCATGATCTCACAGATCGTAAGATTGAGCACCACATTGGACTCTGTGTTGACAGTGCAGAGCCTGCTTGAGATTCTCTCTCTCTCTCTCTCTCTCTCTCTCTCTCTCTCTCTCAATCTCTCTCTCTCTCTCCCTTCTTCCCTCCTTCTCTTCTTCCTCCTCCCCTGCTCACACGCATGAGTGATCTCTTTCTTTCTCAAAATATATAAAATTAAAAAAAAAAAGAAGGGGTGCCTGGGTGGCTCAGTCGGTTGAGGGCCAAACTTCAGCTCAGGTCATGATCTCACAGTTCGTGGGTTCCAGCCCCACATCAGGCTCTGTGCTGACCACTTACTCAGAGTCTGGAGCCTGCTTTGGATTCTGTGTCTCCTTCTCTCTCTGCCCCTCCCCCGCTCATGCTTTGTCTCACTGTTTCTCAAAAATAAATAAATGTAAAAACAAAAATTAAAAAAAAAGGAATGAAATCTTGTCATTTGCAATGATGTAGATGAAGCTAGAGTGTATTATGCTAAGCAAAGTAGTCAGAGAAAGATAAATAACATATGATTTCATTTATATGTGGAATTTAAGAAACTCAACAGATGAACATATGGAAAGGAAGGGGGAAAAAAGAGAGGGAAGCAATCCATAAGAGACCCTTAACTATAGAAAACTGAAGGTTGAAGGAGAGAGGTGCATGTGGGATGTGGGTGGGGGGGTGGGGTAAATGGGTGATGGATATTAAGGAGGGGCACTTGTGATGAGCACTGAGTGTTATATGTAAGTGATAAATCACTAAATTTTACACCTTAAACCAATTTTACCATATGTTAACTAACTAGAATTTAAATAAAAACTTGAAAAAATGAAGCCATATAGGAGAAAAAATATGGGAGAGACAAGGCCCACTAGGCATTAAAAATAGCAATAAATAAATTTAACTACATAAAAATTAAAATTTCCTACAAGGAAATATAGGGGTGAATATACCTTTTTGAATTCATGTTTTCATGTTCTTTGGGTAAATACCCAGTAGAATTACTGGATCATAAAAAATTTCCATCTTTAATTATTTGAGGAACCTCCATACTGTTTTCCACAATGGCTACACGAGTTTGCATTCCCACCAACAGTGTACAAGGGTTCCTTTTTCTCTACATCCTCTGTAACACCTGTCATTTCTTGTCTTTCTTATTCTCACCATTCTGACAGTTATAAGGTGATAATCTCATTATTTAATGTAGCCTTATTTACAATATCTAATATACAGAAGCAACCCAAATGTCCCTGCATAGATGAATGGATACAAAAGATGTGGTATATATATATATGATGGAATATTACTGAATGGATACAGAAGATGTGGTATATATACACAATGGAATATTTCTTGGCCATAAAAAGAATCAGATCTTGCCATCTGCAACAACATGCAACTAAGTGAAATAAGTCAGATATAAAAAGACAAATATCATATGATTTTCCTCATATGTGGATCATGAGAACTAAGTAATGGATAGAATTGCTAAATCATTATATTATATAGCTGAAACTAATATAATACTGTATGTTAATTATACTTCAACAAATAAATGCTTAAATAAAATTTTCTGTGAGAAAATCTATTATAAATCAGTAAAAAATGGGCAGTAACCCAATAGAAAAATTGTCAAATAAGCAGGAAATAAACAGAGAAATAAAGATGACTTACAAAGGCACAAAAATATGTGCCTTCTTCATAACTAGATGCAAGTGGAAACATTTCATATTTTATCTTATCAGAAAGGCAAAGAGTTTGATAATAAACAGTGTTGGCCAGGATATAGGGAAACAGCCATCCTCACACACTATCTAGTGGGAATAAGAAATGGTACAGTCACTTTGGAAACAAGTTGGCAACATTTATAAACATTTTTAAAGCAGATAATCATAGTCTTACAATTTCACTTTTAGTTAGTAAATCTACACATATACTTAATCCACATATGCAAAAAAGTACAGACATTCACAGCATCATTTTTTTCTAACAGCAAAATACTAGAATCAATTTAAGTGTACATCAATAGAGGATTGGTTAAATAAATAAATAAATATCCATACAATGGAATACTAAACATCCATGAAAAAGAATGAAAACCACCAATATGTGCTGGTATGGACTGAGCTCCAAGATATATAATTTAGGTTTAAAAAAAAAGCAAGATGAAGAACACTGAGTGTATTTATGCTTTTTTTAGAAAAGTAGGACACACACACACACACACACACACACACATTTATATAAGTAAAACCTATTTCTGGAAGAATGTACAAGAAACTTGTTGACTAAAGAAGGGATCTGAGGGGTCTGGAACAGAAAGGAGACTCACTGCCTCTGAACAAACAAATCAAAAGATATTAAGGTGAAGAAACACATAATTCTAAGTAACATTTCAATTACAAGAAAGCTGAAAATGGTTGCATGAATTAAAAACCAAGCAAAAGTGAGTGCTTTATTCATTACTTTTTCTAATTCATTATTTTTGTGTAAGGAACTTCTTTTTAATAAGCTCATTTTAATATTTTTAAAAGGTAAAAATAAACCACCTGGCTGGCTCAGTCAGTAGAGCATGTGACTCTTAATCTCAGGGTTGTGCGTTCAAGCCCCAAGTTGGGCACAGAGTTTAATTTTAAAATAAAAATTAAACAATTTTAAAAAACACATTAAAAGGGAGAAAACTTTTTTTATTTAAAAGAAATACATGACCGAACATATTTTTTTTTATTTTTAAAAAGAGTTTCCTCTTGTCTACAATGAGAGAATTAAACTTTTTGATCTTTAGACTCCTAGTTGAAGCATTCCTTGGGTGCATGCAAATATCCTCTAACAGGTGAAAACTGCCTCCCAATCTAACAAAAGTTTTTACAAGTGGACCTTAATGTACTCCGCATGTAGGATGAAACTCTAACAATGTTTCTTAGAAAAATGACTAAAACAGAAGATTCCTCCCAGAGTGAACATTCCTAAATGGGGGAGGCATCTAATGAGACAGCCAGTGGCAAAGTTGGGAAGAAATGAATCCTAGCCTCCCAGAGCCCTGGCATTCACCAACCCTCACCTGTCAAAGGTCCTACTCCGGAGCTCTCTGATGAATGTAGGACTTCCGGTCTTCACTGGCTTCCCCTTGTGTGTATCATGCCCTTTCGAAGATACACGGCGTTTTTTCACTAAGCCAGAGAAAGACACAAGACTGAGTCAGAATGGCCATGAGCTATGTAGGGTTCCAAGAGCAAAGGCCTCAGCAGATCCTGCTTCTCTTCCAGTCTAACAACCCCTTGGAGCACCTGAAGTCAACGAGGCCCTCACATACTCAGGAAAAGTTCCTGGTGAGGTTGGTGCTTCCTCTGGGAATTCCCTAGGAAGAGAGGGAGGTAAAGCTCTGCAATTCTGCCCTCTCACTGGGGCAGCTGCTAACCTGCTGGGCCTACACAGGCTTTTGCTATTTCCCAAGCGCTCAGACAAAGGCAATCTTCCTTTTAAGCTTCCTTCGTTTTGTCTCACCTCTGGACCACTTTCTCTTGAAAACACCAAGATGTACTTACTAATGGAGGGCCCATGTAAGACTTCACAGTTGGGGCAGTGGTAGAGGTCAATGTCAGCAGCTTTCTCTTCTTCAACGCCAACACAACTAGAAAAGAGAAAAACAGCCAACGTTTATGGGAATTTTATTTTTCGTAAGGTCTAGAACTGTGCTGTCCAGTATACATAGCTATTTACATTTAAATTAATTCAATAAAATTTTAAATGCTGTCCCTGCATCATCTAGCTACATTTCAAATTCTCAGTAGCCAATGTGGCTAGAGGTTACCATACTTGGCAGATTATCAAACACTTTCACCAATGCAAAAAGTTATATTGGACCACACTGGTCTACAACAATTATGACAGAGCTAAAAATGTACAGACAGCAAAGCTTCATTAAGACTCAGAATGGGGGTACGCCTGGGTGGCTCAGTCAGTTAAGCATCCAACATCAGCTCAGGTCATGATCTGACGGTTCGTGAGTCTGAGCTCCACATCGGGTTCTGTGCTGACAGCTCAGAGACTGGAGCCTGCTCCAGATTCTGTATCTCCTCTCTCTGCCCCTCTTCAGCTCACACTGTCTCTCTCTCAAAAATAAATAAACATTTAAAACATTTTTAAAAAAGACTTAGAATGGTAAAAGCCAGAAGAGATTCTAAAACAGTGCTGTTCAACAGAAATATAATGTGAGCCAGATATATAAGTTTAAATGTTCTAATAATCACATTAAAAAGGTAAAAAGAGGGGTGCCTGGGTGGCTCAGTCAGTTGAGTGTCCCAACTCTTAATTTTGGCTCAGGTCATGATCCCAGAGTCATGGGATGAAGCCCCATGTCGGGCTCCACACTGAATATGGAGCCTGCTTACGATTCTATCTCTCTCCCTCCTTCTGCCCTTCTCCCCTGCTTGTGCACACTCACTCTCTCTAAAATTAAAAAAAAAAATAAAAAGAAACAGGTGAAATTAATTTTAAAATTTAATTTAACCAATATATCTAAAATATTCTGACTTCAACATATAATCAAAACTTTAAACTTTACTGAACTATTTTACTTGATTAAATGAAAAGGACTGAAAAGAGTATTTTATAATCAACAGTGGTTCTGAGTGAAGGATTACAGGTCATTTTTCTCTTATTTGTATTTTCTAATGCTCTACAATGAACATATGTTACTTATTTCATAATGTAATGTATAAAAAAGTTCATTTAATTTTGAAAATTTGAGTTTAAGTTTATGTGAGATGTTCATCTCACAAAAGTAAATCCTTCCTCACCAAAGTCATTAGCAGCCCTCCTAATAACTTCTGGCTAAGATTAAACTCCTAAAATCCTTGGTCAGCCACACACAGCAGGGAGCATAAAAATAGGGCAGAACTCCAACTTTTTCCTCCAAGATCATGGTCACAAACTGACTTCTTGGGATCAGGACCCCACCCCTGTCCCAACTGCTAACTGCTAATCCTGTGTGTAAATCTGCTGCATGTCAATAAATTGGGGATATCACCATCAACTTGGTGGAGTTTTTCTAAGGGCTCAGATAATGTATTTAAAGTACTTGGCACACACTCTGGAAAACAGTATGGAGGTTCCTCAAAAAATTAAAACCAGAGGGACGGCTGGGTGGTTCAGTTGGTAAAGTGTCCGACTTGAGCTCAGGTCATGATCTCATGGCTCGTGAGTTCAGGTCCCCCGTCGGACTCTGTGCTAATAGCTCAGAGCCTGGAGCCTGCTTTGGATTCTGTGTCTCCTTCTCTCTCTGCCCTTCTCCCGCTCATGTTCTGTCTCTGTCTCTCAAAAATGAATACACATTGAAAAAAATTTTTTTATTAAAAATAGAACTACCCTATGACCCAGTAATTGCACTACTAGGAATTTATCCAAAGGATACAAACATGCTGATAGAAAGGGTGCATGCACCCCAATGGCTATAGCCACATTATCAACAACACCCAAACTATGGAAAGAGCCCAAATGTCCATCAACTGATGAATGGATTAAGAAGATGTGGTATATATATACAATGAACTACTACTCAATGATCAAAAAGAATAAAATCTTGCCACTAAGTGAAATAGCCAGAGAAAGACAGATATATGATTTCACTCATATGTGGAATTTGAGAAGCTTAACAGGTGAACATAGGGGAAGGGAAGGGAAGGAAAAATAATGAGGGAAGCAAACCATAAGAGATTCTTAAATACAGAGAACTGAGGGTTGATGGGGGTAGAGGGGTGGGGGTATGGGTTAAATGGATAATGGGCATTAAGGAGGGCACTTGTTGGGATGAGCACATATTACACATATGTGATGAATCACTGGGTTTTACTCCTGAAGCCAAGACTACGCTGTATCTTAACTAACTTGAGAATAAAAAATAATAAATAAATAAAATAATAAAGTGCTTAGCACAGTGAGCACAGAGAAGCACATCTCACCCTTCACCTGCCTAAACTTTCTTTAAATATATTCCCCAGACCTTGTAGCATTAACTCACTTTGTCAGACCACATGCTTTCTCTGTCTCACACCCGTTAGCCTTGGACACTGCTCAAGAAGGAACCACTAGTCATCCCTCTCTCCTGAACTTTCATCCCATATAGCTATGTACTTTCTCCACCCCCAAACATCCACTGGTCATCAACATTCCTAACTTTTCTCTTGTATCCCCAAGCAACCCCATTTCTTGGTAAACAAGCCCATCTAATTCATAACCCCTTCAACAAACCCCTTCTTCACCTTCCTGGCTTACTGACCACAGCTTCTCCTAGGAGAAGCCATCTTCTCTATACAAGTGCCACTCAGTGTGGTCCACAGACTAATGCTCATATGTGAACTGTTCACCACAGGTCTGTAATACGTACAAAAAGTCAGCATGAGCATCCACAAACTTTTATGACAATTTGGCTGAGTAATTTTATGTCTGTTGAATCTAACAATAAGAAATTGGGGCTTATATTTTGTACAGCTTTTTTGGTTCATCCATTTTTCTAGTAATTCATTTTTTATTGTACCAAATAATTGTGTCCATTATTGTTTGGAAATTTTAAAAAACAGACAAACCCGGTCCTTCACCATAGAACATCTAAGAAGCACTGTGCTAGAACCCCAATCAGGCAGAAGTTATGCATTCTACCAGACCCTTATGTAACTCAGGGCTGTGTTGGAAGCAGACATTCCCCTCACTCTCCAATGAGAGATCATCTCTCCTCTACCCCTGTGTATGATCTCTTACTCCTTTTTAAAAAAAAATGTTTGAGAGAGAGAGCATGAGCGAGTGGGGGAGGAGCAGAGAAGGAGAGAGAGGATCCCAAGCAGGCTCCGCACTGTCAGCACAAAGCCTGATGAGGGGCTCAAACCCATGAACCACGAGATCATGACCTGAGCTGAAATCAAGAGTCAGATGCTTAACCAGCTGAGCCACCCAGGTGCCCCAGATCTCTTACTCCTTTGAGCTTCATATCATCTAGACATGCCTCTTTCCACTCCCCTTCACTGTCAGCTCCTCAGCTCCCCAACATACCCCTTTCACTCATTTAAGAACCTGTTCACAGATTCTTCTCCATCCCAAGTCCTGCCAACATCCCACATGATGTTAGTACTGATGCAGAGGCCCAACACACTGGCCTCTTAGCTCTTTGACCTCCTTATCTTCAGAGGCTGGTGTCTCCACTTCCCTTTCAGCTATCAAATTTCATGGTCATCATCCAGCCCTTGTCAATACTTGCAATAGCTCCACATCTAGAATATGAAATTCATACAGCGTACTTGTGACCACAAATATAATCATCCAGCTCTTATTCATTACACTTGTTCTTTGCTCTCAAAATCCCTTGAGCCTACTTTTCACCTCTTCATCTATTCTTAACTTCACCCTTCTTCCCCATCTAGCTTAGATTCCAGCATTCCTCCCTTCAGCCATTCTCCAACAGATATCCTCAACTCCCTTGCCCCACTGCCTTTCCATCACTCCCACGTGCACATTCCAACCCTGGCTCAATCCAACTATGTTAACACTGGACCATTGGACATGGCTGGAGAAAAATCACCCACTGGATCAGCACCACAATAAATCCACACTGTCCAAAATATCTGAGTCACAGCATAGTCAACACAATATTGAATGAAAAGAACAAAGTTGGAAGACTGATGCTACCTGATTTCAGGACTCATTATAAAGCTACAGTAATCAAGACAGTGTGGTATAGATGAAAGATAGACAAACAGATCAATAAAACAGAATGGAGAGCCCAGAAGTAGACCTACATAAGTATGGTCAACTAATCTTTGACAAAGAGCAAAGGTAGTACAATGGGGCAAAAAGATAGTCTTTTCAACAAATGGTACTGAAACTGGACATCCACATGCAAGTGAATGAATCTTGACACAGAACTTGTACACTTTACAAAAATGGAACTCAAAATGGATCACAGACCTAAATGTAAAATGCAAAAGTACAACACTCCTAGAATATAACACAGGATAAAAATCTAAATGAGCTTGGGCATAGCAATAATTATTTTTAGATGTAATACCAAAGGCATGATCCATGAAAAAAGGAATTGATAAAATAGACTTCATTAAAATTAAAAATATGATCTTTGAAAGATACTGTCAAGAGAAAAACAAGACAAGCCAAAGACTGGGAGTAAACAACTGCATAAATACATATTTGATAAAGGATGCTATCTAAAATATACAAAGAACTCTTAAAAATTAGCAATAAAACAAACCTGATTTAAAAATGGGCAAAAGATCTCTACAGAACCTCACCGAAGAATATATGTAGATGGAAAATAAGCATATAAAAAGGTGCTCCACATCATATGTTAGGAAAATTAAAACTATGAGATACCACTATACATCATCTATCAGAATAGCCAAAATTCAGAACACTGACAACACTAAATGCTAATGAGGAGGTAGAGCAAAAGGAACTCTCATTCACTGCTGGTGGGAATACAAAATGGTACAGCCATTTTGGAAGACAGTTTGGCAATTTCTTAAAAAACTGAACATACTCTTAACATACAATCCATCAATCATGCTCCTTGGCATTTACTCAAAGGAACTGAACAAAAACCTACACATGGATGTTTATAGCATCTTT